CAGATTGTTGGGGGCAATATGCTGACTCTCTGTAAACCGCTTAGAGAGGGCTGAAAGCCCTATGAAGCGGTATATAAGTCTACTGCTATATTCTTGGGAAGAACTGGATGCATATGAAGGCCAACACCGGCTAAAGAGCCGGCGGCTGTAGTTTCACGTGTTTCCACGTATAATAATTGCATGCACTCATAACAAATGCTGCTTCTGAGCCAGCCACGCACAGGCACCCGCAGCGCCTCCAACGTTCTGCAACAGTTACGTCAAGCATGACAAACCCACATCATTCTTCCTTCCCCCTTTTTTTTTTCCGCCCCTTGGCTACGCATGCGTGTGTTTTTTTTTAAAGACATTCTATTGAGGCATTCCTCCCATTGGCTCGTTGAACCGATTGAGGAGGAGCCGGAATCTTATCGACGTCAAGAAACCGGTCCTCATCCAAGGTCAGGTTATCGCCTGGCGCATGCGCACGCCGCGAAAGCGCCGGTCGGCGGGTGGGAGGAAAGGCCGGAAAAAGCGCTCCGCTTCCTTTGTATTTATATCGGGGTGTTTGCGCAGGCGTGGTTGTGTCACTCTTGCGGACCAAGAAGCGGAGACCGGTCGTTGACTCGCAGCCGCTTCTTCTGCCGCCTCTCTTCTCATCCTCCTCCCGTCTTTCCCGGGCCGTTCCCAGGCGTCGGAGGCCCCCATGGCGATGAACTACAACGCCAAAGCGGACGGGCAGCCGGGAGCCAGCGGCCTCGGAGCCGCCGCCGGGGCGTCCGGCGGAGCCGTCCCCAAGAGCCGCAAGCCGGACAACACGGCCTTCAAGCAGCAGCGCCTGCCGGCCTGGCAGCCCATCCTCACCGCCGGCACCGTCCTGCCGGCTTTCTTCGTCATAGGCCTCATCTTCATCCCCATCGGCATCGGCATCTTCGTCACCTCCAACAACATCCGCGAGTTCGAGGTGAGATGCGAGGGCGGCGGGGGGCAGGGAGGGAGGGAGGGGTCCCGCGGGCTACACCTGAAGGCGGAGAGGCCCGACCTGCTCGCTTGGCGTTGGCCGTCCACTCCCCTCGCCTCCCCCGTTCCACCGGGGGACACTGGCCTGCTGGAGCTCCTTGGAAACGAGGACGGGGCTGAAGCAGAACTTGGCGACGCGGCCGCCCAGAGCCCCACCTGGGGTCTGGTTTTTCTTATTTTATTTATTTAATTTGTTTAATTTATGTGTTTAACTTATTTTATTTATTTAATTTTTTATTTATTCTTTATTTATTTATTTAATTTATTTATTTATTTAATTTATTTATTTATTTAATTTATTTATGTATTTAATTTATTTATTTATTTAATTAATTTAATTTATTAATTTAATTTATTTATGTATTTAACTTATTTTGTTTATTTAATTTATTTGTTTAATTTATGTGTTTAACTTATTTTATTTATTTAATTTTTTATTTATTCTTTATTTATTTATTTAATTTATTTATTTATTTAATTTATTTATTTATTTAATTTATTTATGTATTTAATTTATTTATTTATTTAATTAATTTAATTTAATTTATTTATTTATTTAATTTATTTAATTTATTAATTTAATTTATTTATGTATTTAACTTATTTTGTTTATTTAATTTATTTGTTTAATTTATGTGTTTAACTTATTTTATTTATTTAATTTTTTATTTATTCTTTATTTATTTATGTATTTAATTTATTTATGTATTTAATTTATTTATTTAATTTATTTATTTAATTTATTTATGTATTTAACTTATTTTGTTTATTTAATTTATTTGTTTAATTTATGTGTTTAACTTATTTTATTTATTTAATTTATTTATTTATTTAACTTATTTTGTTTATTTAATTTATTTGTTTAATTTATGTGTTTAACTTATTTTATTTATTTAATTT